AGGCCTCTCTGAGGAGGAGAAGGTAAAGGACGGGACGGTGGTTTGAAGGAGAAGTAGGATTCGGGGAAGTATTTTTGTTTTTAAAAGTGGGTATCTTCAGCCTGAAAGAAAAAGAGAAGGAAGAGGACAGACCGGGGGTGTGCCCGTGTTATCTAGAGGACGGGCTCAGAGGATCCAGACCCAGACGAGGAAGCAGCGGAGGGAAGGGAGGTTTTAGGTGTACAGTTCAGTGGCATTAAGTACATTCCCAACATTAAACAACCATCACCACCACGCATGTCCAGAATTGGTTCATCATCCCAAACAGAAACTCTGTACCCATTAAACACTAACTCCCAGCTCCTCACTCTCCCCAGCCTCTTATAAGCTCTATTTTACTTTTTGTCTCTACGAATTTGACTATTCTAGGTATTCCACATAAGCAGAATCATTCGATATTTGTCCTTTTGTGTCTGGCTTGTTTTATTTAGCATAATGTTTTCAAGGTTCATCCCTGTTGCAGCAAGTATCAAATTTCCTTTTTTTCTAAAATGTGAATAATATTCCATTGGAGGTACATACTACATTTTGCTTATCTATTCATCTGTTGATGGACATTTGCACTGTTTCCACCTTTTGGCTATTGTGACTAATACTGCTATAAACATAGGTGTACAAGTGTATTAGAGTTCTCAGAAAGGCAGAGCCAATAGGCTATGTATATAGATATATGAGAGGGGATTTACTGCAGGAATTGGGTCATGCAATTGTGAAGGCTAAGTCCCAAGACAGGCTGTCTGCAAACTGCATGCCAGTAGCGTGGTTCGGTCCAAGTCCGGGAGCCTCAGAACCAGGGAAGTGATGGTGTGATTCTCAGTCCAAGGCTAAAGATCTGAAAGCCCAAGGATACCACTGGTGAAAGTCCTGTAACCCAAACGCTGAAGAGTCCCGAGTAGTGATGTCCAGAAACAGGAGAGAAGAGTGATTTCCCAGTTCCAGCAGAGAGAGAGAGAGAGATTCACCTTTTCCTCTGTTTTTGTTCTCTCTGGGCCCCCAGTGGATTGGATGGTGCCTGCCCATATTGAGGGTGGGTCTTTCCTGCTGTACGGCCGGGTTGGCGGGGGCCCCGGCCGGGTGGGCGTGGGCGGGTCACGCTCTGGAGGTCGTTCCGGAGGCCGTGGAGGGAACCGTGGCTTTCAGTTCGCACTGCAGCGTCTGGTGAAGTGGCAGTTGTTCCTCTTTTGGGTTTCTTACTCCGCGGCCCTTACGCTTGCTCGCGCTGTCTCTCCTTCCCTCGCTTCCTCTTTTCCATGCCTTCTGTTGCAGCCGCCTGGCCGAGTAGGTTAGGGGTTAACGGGCATTGTTGCAGAGGATTGCAATTGTCGGTTAAGGTGCTGAGTGTTCTTAGGACAGTGCCTGGCAGACAGTAAGCAGTGAATGTTAGCTAAAGACCGTAGGCTGTAATGTGTGGTTCTGCACCCACCCCCAAATGATTCATACAACCGGTATACCAACCACTGCGAGCAAGGCATGGTTTGGGAGAATACAGAACTGGCTCAGAACCCACGGGCATTTTGTCAGGTACTAACTGGGTTTGAGAACTTGGTGAGTTTTCTTTCTTTCTCTGCTTAGCTGGGCATTCCTCTTTTAGCTTCCCCATTGGTTTCTCCAGGGGTAGGGTCGGGGGAGGGGAGTTTCTTACACTCAATCACTCTTGCCTGGATTGTAGATGGGGATTTTGTTACAGATGTTCTGAGTCTTGATAGTTTTATCGTAAACATACTGATGATCTAGTCTTCCTGGACATTGCTTAACCTTCCAGCCTCAGTTTCTACCTATGTAAAATAAGGTTTTTGCACCCGGAGGAAAGCCTCTAACTCTGCTCCCTGCTCTAACTTTCACGCTGTGGTTCATGTCTTTTTTCTTTTATACCGAGAGCTTGCATCATTAGTTCAGCTAAATTTTCATGGCATCTTAATTGTTAATTATATACTCAACAATATCAGTTATCTAAAAAAGCTCATGTGTAACAACTCGATCTATATTACTTTGAATCTCCCCTTCCAAAATTTAATTTATCCTGAATTAAGTATCAGCTTGAGTTATATTCCTATGTTAATGCTAACTTTTTCCATTTATACAGTATTTTTGGAGCTACACTTTCTACTTTAATCTCTTTGTATGTTAAGCCTTGTGGAGCTCTGAGTGTGAATGAACTGCAGCTCCACAGTGCCTCTGTGAAGTCTTAGAGTCGGATGAATTTCATAATTTTCGTGTTTGTGATATAGGAGGTGCAGTGCACATACCGTGTTCTAGATAACACATGTGATAGTGTGGTACATATAACATGTTCTGGCTAACGTGTGATACAGTGCTGTCTTAGTTTGTTTTCTGTTGCTTACAACAGAAAACCTGAACCTAGGTAGTTTATAATAGGTTTATTTCTTATAGTTTTGGAGGCTGGGAAGTCCAGGGGCCTGGCTTAGCATTTGGTGAGGGCCTTCTTCCTGGTGGAAACTCTGCAGAGTCCAGAGGGGAAGCAGGGAGAGGAGGCTGAATGTGCTAGCTCAGGCCTCTCTTCTTCTTATAATGCCACCAGTCCCACTCTCCATTCGTTAATACCTTAACTCATTAAGGGTTAATTCACTCGTGAAGGCAGAGCCCTCCTGATCCAGTCACCTGTGAAAGGACCCACCTCTCAATACTGCCACACTGGGGATTAAGTTTCAACATGAGTTTTGGAGGGTACAAACATTCAAGCATTCTCTCCCCGGGCCCCAGAACTCATGTCCTTCTCCCATACAAAATACACTCATTCCATCCCAGCAGACCTTAAAGTCTCAACTTGTACCATACCAACTCAGAAGTCTGAAGTCCTATCTGAAATTGTGAAATAAAGACAAGTTATCTACTTCCAATATACAGTGGTGGGACAGGCACAGGATATACGTTCCCATTCCAAAAGGGAGTAATAGGCCAAAAGAAAGACATAACAGGCCTCTGGCAAGCCCAAAACCCAACAGGGCAGACATTGAATCTTAAAGCTAGAGAATAATCTCTTTTGACTTTGTGTCCAGCATCATCTGCTTACTGGTGTGGGGGTTGGGCCCCTGAGGCTTTGGGCAGCCCTGCGTCCGTCTGGCTTTGCTGGGCTCAGTCTACCTAGCTCTCCCAGGTTGGCATTGCATGCTGGTATCTCTACAGTGCTAAGGTCTTGGTGGTGGTCCTGTTCCCACAGCTCCACTTGACTCCTCTGATGGGGGCTCTCTGGCATCTCCTCCCCTACATTTCAACTTGGCATTGCTCTAGTGGAGATTCTTTGCAGTGGCTCCACCCCTGGGACAGATATCTGCGGGGGCCTGCAAGCTATTCCATATATCCTTTGAAATGTAGGTGGAAGCTGCCACCCCCATAGCTCTTTCATTCTGTGGGGCCTGCAGAATTAGTATCACGTAGATGTCTCCAAGGTTTATGGCTGGTGTCTTCCAAAGTGGTGGATTGAGCCATACCTGGGGCCTCTTGAGCTGCATCTAGAGCAGCTGAGGAGCGTTGCGTTGGAATGTGGGGAGCAGAGACTTGAGGAAGCTCTGGGCAGCAAGCCTATGGAGGGCTTCCTGTCCCAGAAAACCATTCTGCCCTCCTGAACCTCTGGACCTGTGATGGGAGGGGCAGCCTCAAAGATCTCTGAAATGCTTTGGGTGGGGGGAGGGTGTCTTTCTCCCATTGTCCTGATGAGAATAGCTTTTGGCTCCCTTCTGTCAGTAGTCAGAATCTCTTCTAATGAGTGAGTAAGTGGTTACTGAGCCACACTTGTTTTCCTCTCCTAAAAATGTTCTTTCATTCTCTTTCACATGGCGAGGCTAAGAGTTTTCCAAATCTTTCTGCTATGCTTCCCTTTTGATTATAAGTTTCACCTTGAAGTCATTTTTTTCCTCTTCCAGGTTAATGTGGGCATTTAAAAGTAGCCATGAAACAGCCTGACTGCTTTGCTGCTTAGATAGTTCTTCTGCCAGATATTCAAATTCGTTGCTCTTACGTTCTGCATTCCATAAAGCCCTCTGGCATGGGCACAATTCAGCCACGTTCTTTGCCATTTTAAAGCAAGGATGGCCTTAACTCTAGCTTCCAATATCTTGTTCTTCAGTTTTATCTAAAATTTCATCGGAATGGCCTTTACTGTCTATATTTCTCTCAGTATTTTGGTCATGATTACTTAACCAATCTCAAAGGAGTTCCAAATGTTCCCTAGTTGTCTTGTATTCTGCTGTGGATTGAATGTCCCCCCACCCAAACTCACTAAAGCCTGATTTGTGTCACCCAAGCTTTATGTATTAGAAACTTGGCCCCCACTGTGACTGTTGGGACTGTGGGAAATCCTATTGTGGTAATTAAAGGTGGGTCCTTTAAAAGGTGATTAGATTGTAGGACCCTGCTGTAGTGAATGGATTAATAATGGTGGTCAGGGGCGTGGTTCTGAGGGCTTAAAAAGGAGAGCATGTGAGAGTCTCTCTCTGCTCCACCATTTTCTGCCATGTGAGACCCCTGCATTACTGTAAAGCCACCACCAAAGAAAACTCTCACCAGATGTGTTCCCTGGCCTTTAGACTTCCCAGCCTCTGAAACTATAAGCAATAAATTTCATTTTCTTATAAATTACCCAGTTCCAGGTATTTTGTTAAAAGCAACAGAAGTGGACTAATACGTCTTTTAAGCCCTCACCAGAGTCTAGGCTTTTTCTAGCCTGCCGCTCCAAGATCTTCCAACATCTACCTATTACCAAGTCCAAAGCTGCTCGCACATTTTCAGGTGTTTGTAACAGCCTTACTTCTCAGTACAAATTTTGTTTTAATCTGCTTCCTGTTGCTTATAATAGAATACTTGAAACTGGGTAATTTATAAAGGAAAGAAGTTTATTTCTTATATTTCTGGAGGCTGGGAAGTCCAAGGGCCTGGCTCAGCATCTGGTGAGGGCCTACTTCCCGGTGGGGACTCTGTAGAGTCCTGAGGCAGTGCAGGGCATCATGTGGTGAGGGACTCGTGTGTGCTAGATCAGGTCTCTCTTCCTCCTTTTGTAAAGCCACCAATCCCACGCGCGTGATAATCCATTAACCCATTAATCTATTAATTCATGGATGGCTTAACTCATTCATGAGGGCAGAGCCCTCATGACCCAATCGCCTCTTCAAGGCCTCACCTCTCAGTACTGCCACATTGGGGATTAAGATTCAACATAAGTTTTGGGGGGACATTCCAACCATAGCAAGTGTGGTGCTCACTGTTCTAGACATTTTGTGTGTTATGGTGCCGTGTATGTACCGTGTTCTAGGTAACAGTCCTAGTGGCATCTAAAGTAGTACCCTATGATTAGATGTCACTGATTCTACAGAGAAGCAATGAATCTAAACACAGAGTAGGGTGTGACAGTAAACGGCCTTATGTTCAGGTCATGTTTTGCCAAATCAGTTACAAAAAACTTTCCAGTTTTCAGAGCTTTATGAGTTTCACAAATGCAGTTAAGGGAATGTCGGTCTGTATTTCTCAACTGCTTGAACATCCTTTGGAGAAAGGCACTTCATGGCTTAATTACTTCCCTTCAGCAGGGCCCCTCCGGCTGCACCCCTTCTTCACCCCTGACTTGCCTTTCCTCTTACTCTTGTATTTATGTCTTTGCCACGTAGCACTGTGCCATGTCACGTATGCCTCTTCAGTTACGCTGTCCTGTCTGTTACCTTCTTCCTGCAGTGTGCACTTCCGGGGGGTGTGGACTTTGTCCGCAGCAGCATCCTAGTGCCAGAGGCGCTCAGTGTGGAATGAATGATTGAATGAGAGAGGACGTTGGATGAGTTATTTTTTTCTGTAACTTTAAAAAAAGTTCTTGAAAAATAAGTTCCTTGTCTTTTAACAGTGGCAACCATGAGTGGAAAAAACTAATTATGGTTCAACACTGGCCTGTGACAGTGTGCGAGGTGAGTTCTTCTGCCCTGACTGGCCCCTCTGATCCTGTGAACCTGTAAGGAGCTGGTATCCATGCACACGTGCCCGCCTTGGGTGATATATGTCCTTCCTGTGTTGGAGGCCAGAGCTGCTCCCTTTAAGCTATGCCTCCAGGTAGGAGACTTGCTCCACGAGGGCTGCTGTAATGAAGTGCCACAAATTGTGTGGCTTAGAACACCTGAAATTCATTCCTTCACAGTTCCAGAGTCTGGAAGTCTGAAATCAGAACATCAGCAGGGTTGGTTCCTTCTGGAGACCTTGAGGGACTTTGTTGCATGCTTCTGTCCTAGCTCCTAGTGGAGACCTGCAGTCCTGGGCATTCCCAGGCTCATAGGTGCATCGCCCCAATCTCAGTCCTGAGTGTTCACAGGCTCATAGGTGCATCTCCCCAATCTCAGTCCTGGGTATTCCTAGGCTCACAGGCACATCACCCCAGTCTCATTCCTGAGCATTGCTAGGCTTATAGGTGCAGTACCCCAATCTCAGTCCCAGGCTTACAGGCACATTACCCCCATCTCTGCTTCCTCCCTCGCATGGAGTTCTACATGCTGTGTCTCTCTCTTCTTCTTAGGACACCAGTGGTTGGATTTAGGGCCCACCGTAATCCGGTATGACCTCATTTTACTTTGATTACACATTCAGAGACCCTATTTTCAAATAAAATCATGTTCATGGGTATGGAGGTTAGGATGTGGGTATATCTTTTTGGAGGCACAATTTAACCTGCAGCATCCCTCCGCTTGTCTCCTTCCTCCATGTCATTGGAAGTTATTAAAGTGTCTCCTGTGAGCAGAAGGGAGCTGAACACCATTTCCTACCTCCTTTGCTCTGTTGGCACCCACACCTCCTGCCCTCCAGGCTGGCCTCTCCTTCTGTGGCTCTGTCTTGCTCTGTGCCCTGGGTCCTTTTAGGATGTCAGTGCTGCAGCTCTACCCGTTACAGCACAGGCAGCTGGGGTCCCCATCTCAGCCTGCTCCCCCAGGCCCCGCTCCGGCTCACCCTTCCCGTGGGTAGTGTGTAAAGCCGATCCTGGTATTCACTGCGCACTTATTCTTTTTTTTTTTTTTTTTTTTTTTTTAAAGATGACCGGTAAGGGGATCTTAACCCTTGCTGTTGTCAGCACCACGCTCACCCAGTGAGCAACCGGCCATCCCTTTGTGGGATCCGAACCCGGGGCCTTGGTGTTATCAGCACCGCACTCTCCCGAGTGAGCCACGGGCCGGCCCACTGCGCACTTATTCTGAAGCGTGTCATCATATTGCTGAACTAGCCCTACCTCTATTGACGTGTTTCTGGAATTTTGGCTGAAAGTTTTACATTTTGAGTCCTTGTAATTACTGTGAGATGGAGGTAGCCAGTAATTGCTGAATGGTTTGATCGTTCCGTGTTCTGTTTGGAGCGCACAGCACTGAGCAGTGGTGACATTCTCCTGCACTTCCTCACTGACTTACTTTCTGCACAGATGAAAAGGAAATTTCCCTTGTTGCCCTCACCTCACTGTGCTATTGGTCTGGAAACTCATTTCTAGCAGTGCCTCTCTCACCGCCTTGGACGGCTCAGCTTCAGTTTGCACACTTCACAGCGGCTTGTCTCTGTCCCCTCCGGCGCAGTTCTGTGCTGTGGGGTCGGGGTGGGGTGGGCAGGAGCAGCGGAAGTCGCATGAGTTTGCTGGGAATGTAGTGGGCACTCCTGGGACGGGGAGGGGCGGCTGGCCGGCCACTGCCTACTGCAGGATGTGTGTGGAGGAAGAATCACAGCCACGCGTGTCCTCGGCCAGCAATGGGGGCTTGGCCTTCAGAGCATGAGACCCGCAAAATGTGGGGGCATCCCTGTGCTTGGAGCATAAATATCTTCCTACCTTGAGGCTTAGCAATGAGATTTAAAGTAAAAAGTCAGTGACTAGCAAAATGTCATGGTAGGTAAATTACTGTGGAGAGGGCGGCCGTGGTCGGGGGTTCCATTGGGCCAGTCCAGGCGTCCTCCTGGGCAGCAGGGCAGGGCCTGGGCTCCTTCTCTGGGGAGACACACACACTGTCCTGTGGCCACCATGTCCTCAGCGCCTGGCACAGCCCCTCAGAGTCTCACCCGGTGCTGAGGAGGGCTTGCCAGCAGGATGGGACAGCCACACCTCGACCTGAGCTACCTCGACCCGAGCTACCCCGCCGAGGCGTAGCTGGATGGGGAGCCAGTCCGCAGGCCCAAGCTGGGCACCAGCTCGCCCCTGGTCAGCTGCATCCATGGGCAGAAGCCTCCACCTTGGCCTGAGCTTCCTCACGGCTGGGACTGGGCGTCTGGGGAGGTGATGTGCAAGACGTGTCACTCCAGTCCCCCTCTTCATCACCCTTATTTGTCCTGTAGCAGGCCCTCTCACCTAAACCAGTCCCAGCCCGCTCTCCACACAGCCACAGAAAGAAGCTGCCTCCCCACACAAGGCTACTCAGAGGAAAGGGACAGGGCGTGGGGCCTTGCCGCCCCTCCCGGCTCACACTGCTGCTCTTTATTTGCTCATTCACTGTGGGGGCTGGACATGGGTTCCTTTTCATCTGGTCTGATCTATTTCTTGATGATTGTTTATTGAGAAAAAACTCTATTTTATTTTTATTTATTTATTTGGGGTTTTTTTGGTGGCTGGACGTTAAGGGGATCCGAACCCTTGACCTTAGTGTTAGCAGCACCACACTCTAACCAACCGAGCTAACTGGCCAGCCTGAAAAAACTCAGTTTTAGCTAAATAATTAGGAGGTCCCTAAATAGTGTTGTACTGAGGTTTTATCTGCATGACTTTAACTTTATTATTAAGATTACAGATACACTCCTATTCTCACTTCATCTTTGTTGGCTCCAAATTTTCAATACATATTATTTCACTAATGTATTTAGACCTGGTACCTGAACAAGCTTGAGTTTAGCAGGCTATTATCAGCCTTTGTTCTCACACATTTATTTTTGATTATATGGTAAGCAAATTTTTTGTGGTTAAATAGGAGTGTTTCCATCAGATTGACTTTGTGAGCACATAAAAAAGTAAAAAATAGCTGTTTAATTCTGTTAACTAAATTGTTTAAGGATTAGCCTTGCGCACCCAGTGTAGTTTCCTCATGAATGTGTTGCTGGAATGAATTTATTGTAAATTAACATTGTGTTTATCTCGAGTTGGTACTGAACCTGTACCTTGTTGAAAGGAAGAAGGGTTACTAAATGTATTTCAATAAACAACGCGCCAATTATTTTCTCTCTGTCTTTTCTCCCTAGGAAGTTAAAAACGACTGTAGAGACCCTCCGGATTACTGGACAATACATGGATTATGGCAAGCACCTCATGCAATTAAAACTTAATTAAACAGTCAAAAGAAGCTAGCTAAATTGAAATTCTAGCTTGAGTCTGTCTTAATATTACGTTCGTTGTTTTTGTTAGGAGTTTCTTCAGTAGACCAGATCCTTATTTAAAAATATCTTTAGTCTTTCTAACATTACTATAATTTTGTTGATTAGTTCTATTTTGATAGTATATAGTTTAAATATGTGTTTAGGGATTCTGGGTACATTTTAGGATCACTAAATTTTAATTTTCCTATTTTTTCCTTTTGGGGCCTGTTACAAATAAACACATAAAAATAAATAGATAAACGTGTACCATATATATCTACATGCGTATCTGTATTGTACATATGTCACAGATAATCAAATTTACTTTTCTGGTTTTGTCTGTATTTTGTGTAGTTGATTCTTTTTGATTTGTGCATATACTTGTGATGTTAATCTGTGCAAGTTAATTTGCCCCATCAGAGTTAGTCCTGTAGGGGTCATTTTGGCTTTTACTGGTACACACTTATTCCTTAGGAACTTAAACAGGGATTGGTAGAAAACAAATTAAACTGGGACCTGGGTACCTGGCCCAGGCTCGCTGGGTGACCTTGCAACTTTGGGCCTTCCATCTCTGGGACTTTGGCTTTCTGGGATTTCTCTTGGTGCCCTTGCCGTCCTCAAATGCCGTGATGTATCTCTGCTCATAACGGCTGTGTCACTGCTGAGCCTGTAGTGAAAACGTACAGTGCTACTCTCTCTTGTCCCCAGTGGGCGAATGTGTGCGGGTTCCAGATCGCTGGGCCAGCCCCTTGGCACTGAAGACGTGCTCTCTTCCCTGGCCTGGGGGATCTCTGGAAGGGGAGGGCTCGTAGAAGGTAGACTTGGTGACCTCATGAACTAAGCAGCGTCTAATGAGTGAGAGTTGCTATGTCCGGAATTAGGCATGTGAGAATAGAATTAAAGTCCAAAAGCAGGGTGTGTGTGTTTGGTACTTAAAAAAAAAGAAGAAATCATACTAGCTCATGTGACATATACCAGGCACTTTCTGAGCGTGCTAGTTATCTGCATTGTCTCGTTGAATCCTTGTCACCAGTTAAGGAGATACAAACCCTCGCCATTCTCATGCTGCGTCTGTCACATTGGCTGAGGTCACATAATTTAGGATCACTGTGCCAGGAAACAGCTGAGGTTGGTTCCAGCCCCAACGGTGCTGACTCCAAAGCTCCTCCTGCTGGGCTGTTTGTCATGCTTCCTCTCCTGAAAAGCCAGCCTGTTTGCATCATTCCCGGGCATTTTTAACACAATTTCTTCCCTCTCCAAAAGCTACTCAAACCGTGACTAATTCTTGTACCTATTAAATGGCTTGCATGGGAATTCCCAAGTAAAATTTCTCGTTTGGTTCTCCGCAGACTTCAATGAAAGTGTTTTCTAATGTCATGTAGAAGCCATCCCAACCAAGACTAATATTTCTTACTTTATTTTATTTTTTTATTTGAATTTCAAGGCCTGATAAAAGCGAAGAATGTAATCGATCATGGCACTTTAATTTAGAAGAGATTAAGGTATTAACTTTTAATTATATTTCTACTACAGAGTGTTGAACTAGATTAACTGTCTTCTTTAGAAGTGTATCTTCAAAGTCATGTTTAAAATTGCGGGGTCATGAATTGAGCCCCTGGTACTGTTTTAGTAATTACTGACACCTAAGACAACCCCACCAATTAAATAAGAACTGGCCTCTCTTCTCCTTTGCCCTGGGCCCAATCCACTGGCCGAGAGAGCTGGGTGAAGCAGGTGACGCGAGCAGAGCTGCACCCCTCCCACGCCCTGTACCCTGCTGCCCAGACCCCAGACTCGCCCGCCAGCCCTGACTAGTCCCCAGGACTCCTGGGTCAAAGGACTGCAGGCGGGCATCTGTTCACCAGCTCTACCCAGCTGTGGCTTAGAGAGTAGGCACGTGGTACCTAGGGCCGTCCTTTCTTGCTATGGGGGGGGGTGTCGGGGGCAGTTTCTGAGCAGGGAGGAAATTGGACAGAAAGTCCAGACAGTTGCCTTCTCCCTCGTTTCCTCTGTTATTAACGTCCATTTGGGTGCTACATTTGTTACAATTGATGAACGAATATTGGTACTTTATTATAAACCAAAGTTTTTAGTTTACATCAGTTTCACTCTTTGTATTGTGCAGTTTTGTGGGTTTTGACGAATGCATGAGGACAGTACCTCCCATCACGGGCATACAGGGTAGTTTCACTGCCCCAAAAGGCCCCTGCACCCCATGTGTTCCTCTCTCTCCTGCTTTTCTCAGGCAACCACTGATCTTGTTGCTGACTCTTATGATTTTGCCTTTTCTAGAATGTCATAGAGCTGGAATTAATACAGTACGCAGCCTTTTCACACTGGCGTCTTTCACTTAGTAATATGCATTTAAGGTTCCTCCGTGTCTTTTCATGGCTTATGTATTAGCTCATTTGTTTTAAGTGCTGAGTAATATCCCATTGTGTGGATGTACCATGTTTTGTTTATCATTCACCTGTGAGAGCTTGTATGATTACTCAAATTTCACTTTTAGATGGATCTTAAGAAACCTTTCATGCACAATAAACACATTTTCCTCACTTAAGTGTTACTCATTAGCAGAGCTCAATTCTTCAAATGAATGTTTATCAAATTTGCCTCCTAGGATTTAAGTTTCTTAGGTCCTGCATAGACTCTTCCTTATTTTATTTTTTTATTACAAATAGGACCTTTTGGGGGAAATGAAGCAGTACTGGCCTGACGTAATCCATTCATCTCCTAATCGCACCCAATTCTGGTAAGTCTAAGTTTCTGCCAGCCATCGTGAGTCTGGAAACACAAGTGGGGAGCTTCATAAACGCGTTCTAACTGGAAACTGTGTGGGATGCATGGAAAACAGACAACAGAATCCACCTTCAGAGGCTGAGAAGTTTGAACAGCCTTTTATCTAGAGATGATTCAGTTATGCCAATTTTGGTGCCTTTCTCCAGTGGATAAAAAAGGAGGGCAAGTGGAATTTATACACTTGTTTCCTAATCTATGTACTATTTCATTCATGACTTTGGTTTAAAAATTTTCTCTGCTGAGGTTTAACTGAAAAATACTTGTATATCTAAGAATTACTCCAAATGAGACAGGAGAGAATATTTCTTAAGGAGATCGTGCGGCTGTCTTAAAATATATTTTTAAAAAAGAAGACTTACCGGGAGGTGATCTCATTCGTGTGACTTAGGGAGGAGAGAAAGAGAGATTTTCATTTGAGGCTGAATCCTTAGTCTGTCACAGTGAAACACCTTTAAGTTTAGCAGGAGCTGACCTAGGACAAAAACGCCGTGTTTAGTTCAAGATAGCTTCCAAAATCACTGCTTTTTAAGAAGAGAAAGTTGTCATTCCTTTTATTCACATTATATTAACTGAAGGTAATTCTCTTTTTTTCTCCATCTTCCTCCAATATGGCAATTTATAATTTAGATCACAGCTAATCAGATTTTGACCAGAAAGATTAATTTAACCTAGAAATAATTTTGTGTAAAATTTCAGGAACATTAAAAGTTAAGTTCAAAGAAGAGCTTTTTAAAACAAAATGGAGTGAAAGTGGCGTCCCTTGTCCCGATCCGTCCGTGTTCAGTCTGACATTTCACTTGAGGGTGTGTGGCAGGGAAGTGGCTTTATATTTAGTGGTTTTAGATCTATAGATTGAAATCACCTTTCAGTAAGAGAACCACTCTTAATGAAAATGTGGACAGTTCAGGTCTCAAGCACTTGTTCTGCACAGCCTGTGTTCTAGAAAATGGTTTCAAAATAGATAATGGCCGTAATTAGTTGAAGTGGAGGAAAATAGGAAAAAACATGTATCATTTCACACTGTACTTCAAATGATCAATCTATGGTAATTAAGTATGCGAAATATAATTTTTCTAGTTGTCACATGACGGAGTCGATCAGATTTTAGCCAGGTTGCTTAAAATAAGTCAGCAACATATGTAAAGAGGCATTCTGTGAGCTGGATCCTTGAACATGTAAATCAAAACAGTGTAGGCAAAGCATTTATTTTTGTGCTGCAATAATGGCACATAGCCTGAAAATCTTAATTTTTCAGGTTGGATAGTTAAATTACATACTTAAAAAACTTTTTAAACAAAAAAGGTGAATATCACACACTAGTATTTGTGCTTTCAAGTACTCATAAGGGCAAACGGCAGCTGCAGACTGTTCACGCAGTGCTCCTGTCTGGACTGTCCCCTTGTACCGCAGGGCCTCCCTGTCACCAGGTTGTCTTCATCATCCATGTCATCTGAAGCACTCCACAGAGTGGTGACCTCGGGTCCTTTTCCACCTCAGCTTTTCAGTCGCAAATGGAATCAAACGTGCAAAGTAGGGTGTCTTGGTATTACTTGGTGCTTAAGATAATTCCCTAAGATTAACCATTTTGAAAATATTATGTACACAGCCCTCTGCAAAGTAGGATTTTGTAAAATAAATAACCGGGTGTCTTGGTATTACTTGGTGCTTAAGATAATTCCCTAAGATTAACCATTTTGAAAATATGTACACAGCCCTCTGCAAAGTAGGATTTTGTAAAATAAATAACTAGAGTTGGGTCATGCCCAGTTTGGTGATGCAGCCTTGCTGTGGGATGTGTCTTTGGGCCTCTGTGGCCCCGAGGTGTCATTTCTTGTCATCGCTGAGGCGGGCCAGGCAACAGTGGGAGGATGGTCCCTGGGAAGTCTATTCACGTGCCTTACCCTGTGCTGGGTGGATGCATCAGGGCATCTCTGAATATAGAGGGCAACACACCAAGTCACTTCTGGTTGGTAACTGGCACTTTTGATGGTAAACAAAAAAAATTCCAAATGATGTGTGATTAAATGTTTTGAACGACATTAAGATCAATATTTTAATGTATTCTTATGTCCATCGTCTGTTGAATTAAGCTTGCTTCAGAAATCCTAATAGTTGACATTTACTGAACGTTTATTGTGAGCGAGGAACTATTTTTGCTTGTATAAAAGTGCTTTGCATACTTCGACTCACCATTCCTGCCAGTATGCCTATGGAATAGGTTCCAAAATTATTCCTGTTTTATAGAAACTAGGTCAACTGTAATTGAAGCTATACTTCAATTAGTTTGAAAGAATCTCCCTTTTCTACTACACACGATATAGATAGTTATCAAACGGTTCACTCTCGAAACTGCTGCAGATGGAGAAACTTAGTTACTGATGCGTTCTTAACCCTCCCATGTTCAGCTTTTCCAAGTTTTCTTAGTCTGAGAGCCTTACATCCATTGCATGTATTTAAAACTGGTACTATGGATGAATTTTAATAATGAATTGATGCACATTTAGATTGTATTTTTGAGACTTCATGCGAGTGCTTTATAAATAGTTGTGTGAATGTTATTAATTAAGACTTCACGGATTTATCACTAGTAAAGCTGAGGAAACCTGATGCCCATTTCATGTTTGCACGCCAATGGTGGTTAACATCTGAATCAACAAGGTGCGAGTCACTCTGGAGTGGTGTGAATTCTGCTCAGCAGCTCATTGGATGGCAGTGTGGTGTGGTGGGAAGGGCTCTAGCCTTGGAATCAAGAGTGCATTCAAGTGCCAGCTTGGGGACTTGCTGGCTGTGTGACCTTCAGCAAGTTCTGGACCTCTCTGCACTTTAGTCTTCCCATTTCTAAACTAGCAATAATATTTTCACCTTGCTGAGTTGTGTAAACCAAATGAAGAATGTGAAACGTTTTATAAAACTTTAATCTGCAATAAAATGTAAAGAATTATCATCAATAACCATATTTTTCTGGAATACAGGTTGCTGTTTTTTTGTAGATATTTGGTTAGGCTAGTTTGTCGTTTTATTACAACAATTCTATCCTTAACGTAGAAAGGACATACAATCTACAGCAATTTAGTAGAAGCCAAAATGGGGAATGGGCCGACATGTTTCTTAGTAATTAGTCATTCTGCCTTTTCCTGGCTAGCTGCTTAGAAATGATGATTTGTTCCAGTCTCTCAAATTCCCTGGCTATGCAGCACCCGCTCACTGCAGGAGACTGCACATTGCTGCGTCAGTTGGTGGGTGTTTGAACAGTGGCATTTTCTTTTCTCTCAGCTTTGATTTGTTAATTGAGCCAGCTGCAGTGGTAGAGGTGGATTTGAACTGATTTGTCATGAAAAATGTGAAGAGAAGATGAGCGTGCTCTTTGGACATTGTGCTGTGTTTCCTGGAGCCATGTTTCTTAAGTGTAGGGGATTTAAATGATTGCCTACGTGGCAAGTTTTATCGTTCCTACTTTGTAGAAGAAATCACATGCCTATTACATGTGATTCTTCTGTGCTGGAAGAAACCCATTGGAATGTTTTCTATCACGAGTGGGTTTCATCGCTTTCTAACTGCTAGTTCTCCACTCTCACAGGAGGCACGAGTGGGAGAAACACGGGACCTGTGCCGCACAGGTGGCCGCCCTCAGTTCCCAGAAGAAGTACTTTGGTAAAGGTCTGGCCCTGTACAAGCAGCTTGACCTCAACAGGTGGGTGCATCTCCTCCCGGCTGCCCCTCTGCAGGCCCTGTGGGTTGTGGCTGCACAACTCTGCTCTGCAGAGCCTGACAGCCAGGGTCACGGGGGATGGTTCAGACCACACCGCCCGCTCCAGCAGCCCCAACTCATGGGCTCTGGCGCCTTGAAGGGCAGCCAGTGGGATCGTTCCTGAGAAATACTCGAGGCCCCTACCAAGCCTTTCTGGGTCATTCCAGACTGTGATCACAGAGGGGACACAAAGACATAGGCTGTCTCTCTGGGTATTACCTTACCATCAGTCAGTGAGTCGGCCCTGAGGAAAGTGAAGACTGGCAAGGGCATGCCCTTTTCAGCCCTAATTTCTGACAAAGCATGTTGCATCGGCAGGATGGTTTCCCTAGAAAGACTGAACACAATCGGTCTTTGCATCTTTGCTGTAGAGCTCCTGGAACAAGGAGGAAAGGTGATGGGCGAGGATCTTTAAGCCCAGGAAATCACCCAAACCCGTGGACACTCGCCATGCCTGCCCTTGCCTCAGTTCTAGAGAAGTGACTATGTTGTCCCCACTCAGGAAGCAAGACCTTGTAAAAACAAAGTGCCTGTGAGGGCCACATCCCGGCCCCCTGATTATCAGAATGTGGCTCCTGTATTAGGCCGTTTCTGTTGCTTATAACAGAAATGCCTGAAACTGAGTAATTTATAAAGAAATAGAATGTATTACTTATGGTTTCGGAGGCTGGGATTCCCAAGTCCAGGGAACACCTCTGGTGAGGGCCTTGTTGGTGGGCTGTACCGTGACGCAGGGTGTCACATGGTGAGTATGGCAAGAGCGCAGAGAGAGTAACTCCTCACTGGCTCTCCTTTGAAAGCCACCAGAACCACACCCTGACCACCATTAAAACATCAACTTATGAATCCATTCACTAGACATGGTCCTCACAATCTGGTCACCTCTTCAAGGCTCCACCTTTCAGTTACCCTAACAGTATTTCCCACCCTCTTGACACTGGGGTTAAGTTTCTAATACTTGGACTTTGGGGACATAGTTCAAGCTGCAGCAGCACCGACAGACCTGGGCGAGCTCTTGCCTTGCCTGTGTGGACGTCTGTGTCATGCCAGTGTTAGGTGTTCTTATTGACCTTCCTTGCAAGTGGTCATAAACATAAACCAGTGAATTGGTGTTGGGAAAGTAGAATAATTTAATCAGGGCCCCCCTCGCCTTGGGGCAGGTTAGGGGTGGTGCAGCATTTTTTTGGGCAGGTTATGTGTGGGTGGAGTTATTGCACCTGCACAGTGTCGCCACCTTGGCTGGAGTTTACTGCCTCAGGCGGATGCCACGCCTGTGGCCGTGTTTTCCAACCCAAGGCTTCCAAGGTCCTGTTTGCCAGTTACCTACCTCACAGACCTGATTGTGAGGAGTCTGGTGACCCAGCCTGGCATGTGAGGGGTCTGTGACCCAGTCTGTGAATGGGCTTGAGGGGTCTGTGAGCTTCAGACCCAGCCTTAGCTCGACACTTGGCCCAGTCGGTGCAGGATTACAGGTAAGTAAAAGAGCCCAACAATTGGCGACATCGGCAGGATTCTGACATTAGTCCGAATCCCAGCACTATTTAAGTACATGATCAAATCTGCTTAAAAGATGAATAGTCTTCCATTGGTTCTGTACACATGTGCTCCACCTCCTCGGCACACAAAAGCATCTGCAAGGGACATGTCACCATCTAATGGGAATGGTGCTGTTTTGATCAAAAGGTCTAACAGCTGGGATTTGGATCAGATGGCACCGGCACCGGAATAGGAGGGGCCGAATAAGTACATCAAAGAATACCCCCTGAATAAGATTTTAAAATCACCAGCTCCCAGAGGTCATTTTAAGTGTGCCTTTGATCCTGGTTCTGTCACTAACGAGCTGCACAATTTGATTATCTGACTTCATTAGTTCTTATTTCCATGCTGTGAAGTGAATGATGGGTCACCCTTAAATTCTGTAATCTCTTCTAGATCTTAAAGTCTTCAATACTCAGTACATACACTAGGGAAGTTACTTAAACAGAAACGTGTTACAGATTCTATATATTTTGATTAGCGTACAGTCTGTATATTGTATATATATAACTTGATTTACATAAGTTAATCTGTAGGGTTTTTTGTAGAGGAAGCAGTGTTTTCTTGCACTAAGCAAGACTTTTGGAAACATTTCTTCACCCAAAAAGTGTAGATAGTAAGCACTTCAAAAGTCATGAGATTTAACAGAGGATGTCTGTAGTGCACTCCTGGAGCACAGAAGAGGTTCAGTTAAAAAAGACACTGTCATTAATGAAAGACTACAGAATAAGACCTGCCTTGGAGCCTTCAGAAGTCAAGAACGATGCCCTTTATTTCCAGATACGGATCTCATGGCCTGCTTCTGCTGCAGCCTACGAGTAGTTTGAGTTCAGACTAACTGCAATGTGGGTTTTATTTAATCACACAGGAAAATAAAAATAAGTAGATACTACTAAAAATTTTAAAAGAAATAATTCATCCTTTTATCCAACAAATATTTAAGTAGCTCCTGTTGATACTTTCTGAAACTCAGCAGCTTTGCATATATGCACACACACAGCCCTGGAGTCACCGTGGGGTGTCAGCCAGGCCACCCGGCCTTGGCCCTGCCATGGGTGGGGACGGCGCTGCCTCTGTTTGTTCACTCAGTAAATGTTCACTGAGCGCCTGCTGCATGAACAGCACCACTGGGAGTAGAGTGTTTGCTTAAGACTATAAAGAACAATTACAGAAAAGTTAAATTCTTTCCCAGTTTCTCCAAGGAAAATCTAAAATTCTTACCACTCATAAAATTAAAATTAAGGGCCGGCCCGGTGGCGCACTGGATAGTGCGCTGCTTGGGAAGCGCGGCGGCGCTCCCGTCCGAGGGTTCGGATCCCACATACAGACCGGTTGCCGCTCACTGGCTGAGCGAGGCGCGGGAGCAACACCGAGGCTTGCGATCCCGTTGCCGGTCCCCGGTCCGGTACGGGGGCAACACTGAGGGTTGCGATCCGTTGCCGGACACGGAAAAAAGACAAAAAGACAAAAAAAAAAAAAAAATTAAAATTAAGAGGTCAACATTTAAATTAGACTACTCGTGTTTTTCTTTATAAGTCATTGCTACAGATGATCTTTTTTGATAGGTTAGCCTGTGAAATTTTCATAAACTATAACAACTTTTTACTCACCATATTATGAAAGCAGCATACCTGAAAAATTACGAAATATCCTGATGTGAAGTTCTCAGAGTACCCATGGATAAAAACCAGGGGATTAATGGGATTAATGGCAAACTGTCCTAACTCAGAAGAAAGCACAATATACTGTATTCTGGGCTAGGTGCCAAGTTTCCCAAACTCTTTCTCTTTTTACCTTATTTCCTCAGTCACCTTAGTGAGGAGGGTGTTGCCCAGTAGAAATACATGTTGAGCATCCCTTATCCGCAGTGCTTCGGACCAAAAGCATTTCAGATTTCTTCAGACTTTGGAATGTTTGCATTATACTTAACAGTTGAATATCCTAAAATCCAGAATCCAAAATGATCCAACGAGCATTTCCCTTGAGCATGACCTTCGAGCATCATGTTGACACTCAGAAAGTTTCATATTTAGGAGCATTTCAGATTCAGACTTTTGGAGCTCAACCTGGATTATACGAGCAACAGATGTTGTTTTAAATTTTCCAGTAGCATCATTAGAGCAGAAAGAATACAAAATCAGTTGCTATCTATCTTGTAGAACAGGTGTGGCCAATCGGTGGTACTGGGTGTGCCAGCTGCAGTCAGCAGTGGCCCTATGTGTGCTGGGGCGAGGGGAGGTTGGGGCCTGGGAGCTGTTGATCTGAGGTCCTTGTTAACAGGTTTATTGTCTAAAGAAATAGAAAAAAAGTGCTTTCCTTTAAGAGTGTCTTAATTTTTACTATGAAATATGATGTTTAAAAAAACAGAAAGGAAAGTGGACCTTCATAATGCGGCTAATTTTTTTTTAATTTAAATTTTAGTAAGCTCCAAAAACTGGGGATAAGACCATCTATCAATTACTACCACGTAAGTCTTGCTTTGCTTTTTATCTAAGGTGTGCCTAGCAATGTCATTTTACCCTGTGAGCCACAGTTGGGTTTTAAAGCAATGCAACATAAGCCCCCCTCCTACTTAATTTTTACGCTTTAGATAGATTTTATTTAAATTTTGCTTTCCTGTGCATATTGAGTATAAAATGAAGGATACTTAGACCACTGATTTTGAAGCTCCTTGGAAAGAAGTGTGTGGTCCAGGTCCTGACAGAGCAGGTGAAATATACAGTTTGAAAAAGTAAATTCCATTTTATAATATAATGTTATGTTTGAGGAAAAAACAACATTGGTTTGGTTTTTGTTTTTGTAATAAAACTATGATTTTTTTCATGATAAAACTGCAGAAATTTAAGCATGACCAAATCTTATTGGCTGGTAGGGATCACAAAAGTAGTCGTTTTCAACTCCAGGTGCCAATCTTTGCAAACAGAGTTCTCCTGGGCCGCAGCCACATGCATTCTTGTGTGCACTGCCCAAGGTTGCTGTGCTTCCATGATGGGGCTGAGTGGTCGTTGTGGTTGCGTAGCTGCCACGGAGACAAACGTGTCACCCACAAAGCCAGGAATGTTTGTTCTGGACATTTACAGAAAAGTTTGCAGACTCTAGCTACAGAAAACATCAGATTCTTTGAGATAGTTTTTTGTATTTATCATAGAATGTGGATATGAGAAAAGGTTGAAAGTCACTGCTTTTGTCAGTTCTGTGTTTCTGGGGTCATGTCTGGACACTGAACTGCTGTTTTGGTCTCTTGACAGTTTGTGAGACAAGTGGGCATCTTCATCTTTGCACTGTCTGCCCGACTGCATGGCCATTTCCCAGTCAATCCTTTTCCTCCCTCCATGGAAAGGAGGGCGGAGGGAATAGGGACTTTTAGGAGGGTGTCAGTTGGGCTGCCCTGGAGAGACTCTTCCAGGAAGCCCTGGGAGGAGTGTTTGCAGGACCCTCTCCCATCTGGATGCACATTCAAATAGACAAGGGAGGGCTGGCCTGTGGCTCACTTAGGAGAGCGTGGTGCTGATAACACCAAGTCAAGGGTTAAGATCCCCTTACTGGTCATCTTTTGAAAATGAAAAATAAAAAACAAATAGATGAGGGGGCATGTTCTACTTGTTGTTCAGAGAACCAGTTTTTGTGATGATAAAGCCACGGGGCCACCAGTGTATGCTAAGCTCCTTCTGCGTGCTGAAGGTACCTTGGTAGGCGTCAGAAGTAGCAGGATGGATAACGCAGAAATCCTGTCCTGTGACAGTTAGTTAGACTTATTGTCAGAAGATTTTCTGCTTTTGCATCCAGCATCCGGGCACTTGTCCATGCATCTGTTTTATGGGAAATCGGTTCTGCTGGAGCATCCAGGCGAGCTGCCACTGCAGACATTTCCTGGGGACTGCATTATTGAAAGGGAGCCCTAAAGCCTGTGCTCACACTGGGGAGGAGTGTTCCAGGAGAGGGGAGGTGGGCTGGGCTGAAGAGGAGAGAGCGGGCACCTCTTCTGGGAACTGGGGGAGGAGCTAGGTAGGCACCTAGAGGTCAAGGGCCTTAGCTGCAAGGACTGCTTCCTACAGCAGCAGAGTGAGCACTAGCACTGAGCATTCTGAGCAGGCCTGTGTCCTAGACAGTCACCATGGTGGCCTGGTACTGGGGGGAGACTGGAGATGAGGACTCTCCAAGGAGGCCAAGGGGTGGGCCACGTGGAGGAGGAGGGACATGGGCTGATAGCCGAGCAGCTGGAGCAAAGGGGACAGTGCCATATGGGGCTGGAGATGGGGGGAAGGCTGTGCCCTGCCCTGCCTCAGCCTCCATGGGAGTGATATTTCCTGGCATCAGGAGCTCTGCAAGGGGGGAGGATGATCAGATTCAGCCTAGAAGGCTTCCAGCACATGGCATAGACAGCTCAGCCTATGAGGGATAGAGGAGAGGGAGGCGGTCAGGGGAGCAGGGCTGTTGGAGCTGTAAAGGAGCCTCTGAGTGAGGGTGTGGATGGTCTCAGGGCTGCAGGGGTGCGGGTGGTATGGGGGGCGGTGCAGGCAGAACAAGGGAGCCGGTGATCCTGCTGAGGCGCCTGTAGGGACGTGTGCTGCTGCAGCCAGAGCACAGAGGCTGAGGGGTGCTGATGTCCTAGAGGTTTGCCTCTAAGAGAGCATGGGAGAAGCAGAGGTGGGCTGGGGAGGCCAGAGCCCATGGCAGTCCAAGTTTGCAGTTTAGAGACATGGGGGAGGGTGGTCGAGGGCCTTCTGTGCAGCAGGAAGTGTTCACTGCTGGGGTGGGGAAAGGCAGAGGTTTGAAGGGTGGGCAGGGCTAAGAAACAGCAGTTAGCAGACAAGGGTGGCTGTGGTGTGTGGCGTCTCAGGCAAGGCCCCAGGGGGGAGTGGGTTGACCGGAAAGGGACAGTGAGAGGAGGAGAGTCAGGTTGCTCTGGGCCGGAGTTGAGAGGAAAGTATCCGTCAGGAGTACCTGGAGTACGTTGTGGCCTGGCAAATGAGCCTCTCCTTGGGGGCTCAACCTCAGTCCTGTCTCCACGAGCCAGGGAGCACCCCGGAGGCCAGGGCGTGGAACTGACTGCTGCGTGAGTTTGTGAGTGTCAGAGAGCTGCGCTCTGGACAGAGCAGAACTGTCAGGCTTTTTCTGTTGATGTTTCTTTTCTAATACAATTTTATTTAACGTCAGATTGAAGATATTAAAGATGCCCTTGCCAATGTGTATGGAGTGATACCTAAAATCCAGTGTCTTCCACCGGAACAGGTCAGACATGCTGTGTTTTGTCATCCTTTCTGTCTTTATTAAGAGGACAATTTCCACTTTCCTGACAGCTTTGTCTTCACCTGGAGTTCTCAGGGCCAGAACTGCATTTGTGCATGCACAGGCATTGTGTGTGTCTGTGTGCATATACATGCATGTGGGTATGAGCTGTGTGTGTGCACTGGTATGTGCGTGTCTGTGTATGTGCATGCATGTGTGTCTGCATGTGAGTGCATTCAAGCATTGCTGTGTGATTACAAGCATGTGTATGTGCATGTGTGTGTGTGTGTGTGTTCACGCATGTGCTGTGTGTGCATGGGCATGTGTCCATGTGTGTCTGTGCCTCTGTGTGTGCAGGCAGGCAGGCATGTACTGTGTGCATGTGCATGTTTGTGCGTGTACACGTGTGTGCATACATGCAGGTATGTGCGGTGTGCATGAGTGTATGTACATATCTGTGTGTGTGCAATATGTGCCACATGTGCACATGTGTGTCTATGGGTGTGAGGGCATTCAAGCATTGCTGTGCGTGTTCATGAGCATGTGTGTGTGCATGTGTGCACACTTGAGTGTATGTATGTACAGACATATGCTGTGTGTGCATAGGCATGTGCATATGTATGTGGGGGTACATATGCATGCGTATGTGTGGAAGGGCATGTGCTATATGTGTATGGGCATGTGCACAAACGTACACATGTACATGTGAGTATGTGCTATGTGCATGGATGTGTGTGTATGTATGCAGGTATGTGCTTTGCATGTGCACAGCCGTGTGTTTTGAAGTAACCAATGATTCTTTGATACCATGCTAGGATAAGATTCATTTTCTTCCCACTTATCCCTAACAAGAATCTACCTGTTCTGGAGAGGAAGGTGGAGTAGGGAGTAGGTATGTTACTATAGTTAAACATATCTGACTTAGGACATTTGTAAGTTTTTATGTTGCCAGTCCTAATAATTTTAGTTGTAGTTATTTGTCCAATTTATACACAAAATTGTAGTTTCTTTCGTCACCTGATAAAAAGACAACATTCTTAAAGCAACACGCTACTCTTTACCTATAAAGCCATTTCTTCTCCCAGCATCTTGGTGTGTATGCTGTGTATGCAGTTTTGTCTGCATGTACCTCTGTGGTGTGTGTATTGCTTGTTAATTTTTTCTAAGATAAAAGCAGTGGCCCTTCACACAGGGCTGTAGGCATCCAGTGGTCTCCAGAGGCCGAGCCTGAGGCCGAGCTCCACCGCCCACAGCCAGGCCACCTGTTCCGATTCAGTGCATGCCAGCCTTCTGTAAACAAAGGGAATTTGTTCCAAGAGTTTGGAATCTTAGATCTGGAACCCCTGCTTTTGTTATCAAATTAGTTCTAAAATTTCATGATCATAAAACCTCGATGATAGTCTAGGATTTGAATTCTAAAATATCTCTCCTTTTTTTATCTTTAGGGTGAGGAAGTGCAGACGATTGGTCAGATAGAGCTGTGCATCACCAAGGAGGACCAGCAGCTGCGGAACTGCACCACACTCGGGGAGCCACCGTCCTCCCTGCAGGAAGTCTGGCCAGTGGATGTGGCTGCAGCAGACAGGGGTCTGTCGGTCTGCAAGGATGGCCCAGTCTTTTACCCCCCGCCTAAAAAGACCAAGCATTGATGCCCATTAATTTTTTAAATATTCTGTGTTTTAAAAGCAGGCGAAATTTACAAACCACTGCTTTCTAAAAAAAACCTCCAAAGTGAAATCTTATGTTTTAACTCCTCCTTTAATATAACAACAAGCCTTTTTGCTTGTTTTGCTTTTTTTCTTCCATGTCTGGGATTGGTTTTTTTAGTCCATGTAGAAATGGGATGCATGTGGGGTACATTGAGAGAACAGGGTTGTTCCATGCCCAGTGGCTGCTGGGTGGCTGTGGAAACACAGATGTTCCTTTTTTCTTTTTTATTAAGCTCTTCTGCATCTTGAGAAGATCAGGCAGGCTCCCTGGGAGTTTTGGCAGGTGGTACAGATTCAGGAGATTCTCTGGCCTGTGTTTTCCTCTCAGAGCTTTCGGCTTCCTGGTGTGGGGATCTTGCTGGGACAGGAACCCTGCTCCAAGCAGGAGACCAGGCGATGCCCAGTGTCACGCTGGGTCACAGACGCTTCAGACCCATTCTGTGCAGACTGAGTCACAAACCCCTCAGATGCAGGTTGGGTCACAGATCCCTCATATGCAGGTCACGAACTAGGTAATTGGAATGGTCCTGGGAGCCACTGGCAAGGTTGACATGCTTTATTCGGACATGAGCTCAGCCCCCCAGCCAGCCTCCACAGCAGCAGCAGCGGCCCCCTGATGGCCTCCTGGGGGTACTGTGGATCAGAGCTGTTTGTCTTTTATACTTAAGTCAGATAACCATGAAACACCTGGGTGTGAGTTGTATAACCAAGGAACACCTGAGTGCACGTGCACAGTTAAGGTATTTACAACAGTCATGCTAAGTCATGCTTGGCAAGATTATAAACAGCTGAGGGGGCCTGACCATCTGTTTTCATTTGCCTTACACTCCACCCCTTCAGGGTCCCTCACCATACAATCTACACATTGGGAATCTTCTGCAAGTGTTCCCTCCGTGAGGATAACTGACCCTTGCATCCATGTAATGTCTGTACCAGTTGTATGTTCTATACACCTTGAGGCCTGTCCCCCCCATAGCTCTACCCTTTCAGCTATATTTAGTGACATTCCATCCCAACAGTCCCAAAAGTCTTTAGCTTGTTCCAGCAACAACTTAAAAGTCCAAAGTCTCATCTGAGACTAAAGGCAAAACTCCTTCAAGCTATGAACCTACCTGAAAAAAAGTCAAAAACAAAATTATCTAATTGCAAGATACAGTGGTGGGGCAGACGTGGGGTATACGTTCTCATCCCAACATGGAGGAATAGAAAGGAAAAACAGGTCCCAAACAAGTCCAAAACCCCAACGGGGCAGACATTAAGCACAATGGGGCATCTGGGCTCCCAAAGCATTGGGCAGCCTCACTCCAACATCTCTGCCAGGAGCAGCCCATTGAGCTGCCCTGGTGCCTGCAGCTTTTCCAGGCTGGTGCTGCATGTTGCCAGTGGCCCTACAGTTCTTGGTTCCTGGCGGCGGCCCCGCTATCTTGTCTCCACTAGACATTTCCCCAGTGGAGGCTCTCTGTGGGGGCTCCGACCCACTTTTATGCTCCACATTGCTCTGTAGGTGACCTCTGCAGTGGCTCCACCCCTGAGGCAGGTCTCTGCTTGGGTCCCCAGGCTTTTCCATACATCCTCTGGAATCTGGGTGGAGACTGCCACGCCTCCACTGCTCTCACATCCTGCAAACTTAACATGACATGGACGCCACTGAGGTTTTCAGCTTGTGCTCTCCAGAGCTGCTGCATGAACCACACTTGGAGCTGCTTGAGGCAAGGCTACTCCAGGCAGAGCAGGTTCCCAAGGGCAGCAGCACTCCAGGTCTGTCCTCTGGAAAAACTCAGTTCTAGGCCTCTGGGCTTGTGATGGGAGGGGTGACCTTCTAGACTTCTGAAATGCCTTCAGGGTCTTTCTTCCATTGTCTTGGCTAGTAGCATCTAGCTGCCCCATTCCTGGCTCCTGAGTTATTTGAACCAGCTCAACATATGCCTGCCATTCACTCAGTCTCAGGCAGTACTCCAGTGTTCACTCACACAGCTTGAATAGCTGCATTCACCCATCCATCAAGGAGTACTTACCCTGCCCCTGTGCATATTTGCAGGGACAGGTGAGTAATAGAGCTGCACATAACCAGCACCATCTTAGACAAGCCCAAGTACAAAATGGTGCCGCGCACCTCCTCCCATCCCCCATTCTCTCTTACAATAAGCCTCATGGTTTTGGAGAAAATGAAACTTTTGGCTTTTCCGCATGCGCAGAACTCTCCATCCCCATGACCTAACTCAATCCCCACTCTGGAATTACATCACCCAGCTCTTGGTGCCAACATACCAATATAAGCTCTACCACCCCCACACCTGGTGCTGTCCCCCATTTTCAGGGCAGCCCCGGGCTGCCTGCCACTCTGAGCACAGCCCGGCAGATTTCTTTCTTTAATAAAGCTTGAATGGTACCCGGCATCTCGGCTCATTTTCTCTCAGTGAGTGGTAAAGGAGGCTAACTTTTCCACCTCTTTCCCAAAGCACATCACACCATCCACTCCAGGTCCCATAGCTGCAGCAGCTAGAGGCTCTCCCTGTTTCTGCTGCTTTACTGTTTCCCCAAGTCAACCAATTTGACCTGGATATAAGGGACATAGGTGGTGAATTGGGTCACCTGTGGGTTGCCTAATGGTTGTCCACCTGCTCCAACAGGCTGCTCGTGCTTCACTTTCTGATGCACAACAGGTCATGCCAGGAGATGCACAGTCTCCTCCAACTCACCATTGGGTTCATCATCGTCCCCGGTATCGGAAGCAGGGATGATGTGTTGCTGCACTTTAGCCTCCAGAACAAGTACCCGCACTTCCAACATGTCTGCCTTTTGTTTCAAATCTCAAAACCACGCCGCCTCATAAAGCCTGGTCCATGTTTGCCCGCAGCACAGCAAGCAACAGCCAGCCCCTGGTCAACAGGAAAGCAGCCACTGGGTACCACATACTCGAGGGTAGTCACATTTCCTCCCCCTCCTGAGGGCTAACAGCTCCCTTACTTGCTCAGGATCCTGCTGACTATGCCAATTGTTGGGCTGGGTCACAGAACCTTCAAACTCATTCTGTGCAGACTGGGTCACAGACCCCTCATATGCAGGTCACGAGCTAGGTAATTGGAAAAATGCTGAGAGCTGCTGGCAATGTTGACTTGCTTTATTCGTACATGAGCTCAGCCCCCCAGCCAGCCTTTGCATCGGCAGCCTACAGTAGCCTGCACAGCCCCAGCACCCCCCTGGTGGCCTCCCAGGGGCATCCTGGGGGCACTGTGGATCAGAGCCATTTGTCCTTTATACCTCGTCAGATAACCAGGGAACACCAGAGCACACGTGCACAGTTAACGTATTTACAATAGACAAGCTAAGTCATGCTTGGCAAGATTCTGAACAGCTGAGGGAGCCTGACCATCTGTTTTCATTTTCCTTACACCTGGGCAGGCCTGCAGGGCATCTCTACCTCAAGGTTGGGGTCGGTTCCACAGGTTCCACATGGCCAGAGACTCCAGGGCACGGCCCCCTTACCAGCTTCTCGTGTCCTTGAAGGTCCCTCGGGTACTGAGACAGGGCTATTAGGTGACTTTGCTCTTTGCCAGAGGAGATTTGGGGGGCTGTTCTCACAGTGCAGCCGGGCAGGACTGATCAGTACCTGCTCTTCTGGGTTATACNATGTGAGGTCCCCCCATCGAAGGCCCTTGTAAAGCTAGGGCTTACAGACCCCTCGAGTCTGTTGCACAGATTGGGGTACAAACCCTCCACACACAGGTCTGTAAGCTAGGTAATAGAAAAGAAAGGTTCTGGGAGCCGTAGATATAGAAAAATGAATGGGTTTTACTCAGATCTAGGAGCAACTGCCCCAGTGGTGTCTCTGAGAGTTCTGAGAAGCGCCGTGGATCAGAGCTGTTAGTCCTCCATACTCAGGTCCATAACCCTGGACACCTGGGTGCCCAAACACAACTTCCATTAAGTAGTAACAAGGAACACGCGAGGACATTTACAGCAACTGCTCGGCAAGATCCGAACATCTGAGGGGCCCTGACATTTTCCTGTTTTTCCCAACAGCCCTTTACAATGCATGAAAATAAAGGCGCCACACTAGGAGCTGGTTTTCTAAGAAAGGCCCTAGACGACACCTGGCAGCTTCTTCAGAGAGAACGTAAGCGGCATCATCAGGGACTTGATCAAAAGCAGCACCTTTATATTCTCTTCTCTGTAACAGAGGGAGGAGCTTAGCTCTGCTTCCTGTGTGCTGGGGGGTGTCGGGGGAGGGTCCAGTGTGGCCTCGCCTTGGGCCTTGTCCCTCTGTCCCTGTCCTTGAGCTGCTTCAGTCCCCTGTGTCTTTCCATTGGCTTGCCAGCCTTTGTGATGATTTTTGTGTGTGAGCGTTTGAGAAAAGGGACAAGCTGGGTCTTATCTGGTGTCTGGACTGGCACAATTTCCCTCATGGTCCTTAGTGTGGAACCCTTGTACCCTGGAGGCATTTGAGAGACAGTGATTGTATCTTTTGAGTCCCCTTGCAAATACACCAAGCTGAAGTCTGTAGAGTTTCATCTTCATTATTGGCAGATGGGCTCAAGGCTAGGGCTTCATCTTCATTGTTTGCAGATCAGCTGGTGAATTTGAACAGAGTTCTCATTCGAATTGCATTTATTTTATNGGTTCCACATGGCCAGAGACTCCAGGGCACGGCCCCCTTACCAGCTTCTCGTGTCCTTGAAGGTCCCTCGGGTACTGAGACAGGGCTATTAGGTGACTTTGCTCTTTGCCAGAGGAGATTTGGGGGGCTGTTCTCACAGTGCAGCCGGGCAGGACTGATCAGTACCTGCTCTTCTGGGTTATACGTCCCTGCAAACTGTGAAGCCTTTGATTAAGTTTGTATTAGTTCCATCAGAAGGTAGCCCAATTGGGCCACTGATTGGATGCCCTTCCTTTCTAGATGTGCAGTGACAGCTTGCACGTCAGGTGGACCTCAGTGGCCTTGACCAGCTGTGACAGGACTGCACCGTGCAGTGAGGATATCTGATCTGTGAGGTGGGGTGCTACCTGTGCTTTACTGAAACTACCTTTTAGCATTATGTTCTACCTGGCCTCTGCACTTTTTTGTTTTTTCTGTTTGTCTTAATCAGATTAATATT